TCTCATGTGCTCTCTCTCATTCTCTCTCACACAAATAAATAAATAAAATCTTTAAAAAAAAAAAAAAGCAAATGAGAGTAGTACTTTTAGTGGTAAAAAAGTGAAGACACTTAATTCTTGCGTTTTTACACAGAAAAAAATGCCATTTGTTTGGTCTAAATAAACCCATATTTAAAAAAAACACAACAATAATAATTTGTATTAAGTTATTTAAATCAAATTATAAAAATTAATATTATTTTAAATATACATAATGTTAACGGTACCTCCAAAAAGGACTCACAAAAGTTATAAAAATGGTGTATCATGAAAAGATAACTGAGAAACAGGTCAATTTATCCAGCAGACATTTACTGAACCGTATGGAGACAGATATGGCTGTGGCTTTCAAAGAGTAACAAGAAGTATGCCACAACACACAGGACAGGAAGGCACCAGGGGAACAAGGGGAAAGCTGACTACCTGTGTCTTTGGAAGGGGTCATACAAAGGGACAAAGACAGTGTTCTGGGAGTAGGAAAAGACAAAGGGAGGTGATGAGAGACGATGGGGGTTGGCACTATCTTTGGATTATGATTCCTCCCTGTGGCTGGAAATCGGGATGCTCCTGAGGAGCAGTGCCAGGAAATGAGGCTGGAGAGAGACCCCACCTAGACCACGATGACTGCAAGGGAGAGATGCTCCCTAGTAGGTCTGTTTGCTCCTTGGGAAGATAGCCCTAGTGGTGAAGTGTACAGAGGACCGAGCCAAGGCAGAAAGCCAGTCAGAGGCTACAGGAGCCCTCATAAGGAGGAGCCTTGTAGGTAAGGAGCCACCCAGGTGAGGGGCAGGAGCCTTAGGAAGAGTCAAAGGGAGGGGGAGGGGCTAGGGTGAGGCGTCAGTCTAGGCGGGAATGACATTTTTGTTGTCTTATTTTTGAGCTAATAATGACTACTAAGTATTGACTACTTATAATAAAATGTGGAATACATATATATTCCATATATGTGTATATACACACTAACAGTGTGCAGTGATGATTAGTACGGTTTATCCAGTGTTAGAACAGAACTCAGCAGGGGTGTCTGGGTGCTCAGTCACATTCGTGAGTTCGAGCCCCGCACTGGGCTCCACACTTGGTGTGCAGCATACTTAAAAGAAAAAAAAAAAAAAATATATATATATAAAATATATATAATTCAATCAAAACCAAACCAAACCAAAAACCTTCATGATTCTTAAAAACCACGTACTGTGCAGTTCATTAAACACCATGACAGAAAGACGATGCGTGTGAATGATGGCAGCCTTTGTTGGTGGAGGCTGCAAGGAGATTTAGGGGTTAGAATGAGAACGGCAACTCTGTCAGCCTATGGTCCCAGACTTACTGGTTTTGTGACTTGGACAAATTAGACTCTCAGTTCCTGGTCAGTAAAAGGAAACTATGTTAGTATGCAACCGTAAAGTTAATAAGGATTAGATGAGCAAATATCTATAAATCACACGCAGTGATACGTGCTGAATGTTAGTTACAACCTACACTTTTTAAAAAGTTTATGTTTTCAAATTTTCTGTAACAAACATTATTTTTTGTGATCAGGAAAAAAGCTGTCTATTAAGAGATGAAGCCCTCCATTAAGAGCATAAAGAAGTATAAAAACACTCAAAGGATTCACGTATCAGAAAAGGGAAACGTGAGAGAAGGACAGACTATGTTTCTCTGTTTTACATATCCTTGTCAGTTAATGGGAAAAATGAAATTAATGTTTACTTACTGGTTTCCTAAGGAAGAAAACAGACAAGGCTCCCACTAGGGGCATGTCTCCAATCAACGGTTCCAGGATCACCCGCATTGTACCATGAATCTAAATTCAAGTGGAAAAACCAAAACATGTCATAGAAGACAATTTCACAGGCCATTTACTGATTCAAGAAGGAGGATACATGATCATCTTAGTGACTTCTGAGCATCTGACTTTATGTTTCTCTCAAGTATAACCTACAAATAGAAAACTTAACTTCAAAGAAATTCTGAGTTAATAAAAACTTCACTTTTCTTTTTGAATAGAGCATAGAGAATTTTAGAAGACTATAGAACTTTAAAAACCTTACCTGTATACTTTGCACACCGGCTCTACAAAAATATCGCTTGATCTCCAAATCAATCTCACAGTTTCCTACAAAACTAGCAGAGGAGAAGTTCTGTATTACTGTCTCTTAATCACCACAGACCTGCAAGGTACATAATCTGAGTAAAATGACAGCAAAACAACCAAAACCAGCCTGTAGGCAAAACTGTAATGTGAGGCCCATGTCCGAGTATTTTACTACCCAGAATCACAGACGTGCCTGCTAGCAGATTCGACATTGCCACACCGATTACATGTCACTTCTCAAAGTGCAGCTTCTGGATCAGTCTCTTGATGGAATGTAGTTTTCATTTGTTTTATAAACAACTGTGCTTGTTTAAAACATAAAAAAAAAGCTTAGATTATATTTCACCAGGAGTAAATTTTGCATCCATGCTCCCTGGTCAAAACCAACAGCAGTGTTCCAGGGCTCTGGACATCAAAGGCTAGAAACAATGTGTCTTTCTGAGGCACCAATTTTACTCAGTGATTGAGTCCTTTCAATCATTAATACAAAACGAAACAAACGAAACAAGAATATGGTACAATGCTGAATGTCAGGCTTGCATCTATTCTTAATATGAACATGAAACATCATCTATGTTTTGTGTGGGGTCTCCGTGATTTGACTCCCACCCTCAAAAGCAGCACATCATGCTCCTGCCGGAGGACATCTGGGGGCAGTGTGACAGATGCTGGAAAGAGTGTCTGAGCACACAAGTACAATACTAAAGAAAGGCATCTGGGATGAATTCTTCCGGTATTTATGTCCTGGTGTTAAAGCCAGCACCTACAGATTCTTCTTACTGAGCAGGGCCCTGGATCTAGCTGGTAAAACCACCTGTTAAAAAACCACCTCAAAACTTTCCTCCTCTTCACCCTAAGACCTGATCATTTTATTTCCTAATATCTGCCAATTACTCCTTCCCCATCTCTACCGCCAATAACCTAATTAAAGTCCCAGTCAAGAACACACAAAAAAGTGGAATGCAGATTTTTTTTAGAGACATAAATATCTGAGCAGCATAATCTGCATATGTTGTTATGACTGTTAAAATCATGAAAGCCAGACCGCGTCTTCACAATGGCATCCATTAACTGATTCATTCAAATGTTTAATAAATGTGTAAGAAATCCTCCCTCGGTGCTGGAATAAGAGAATACGGTTTCCATCCTCATGAAGCTCATTATCAGCCTAGTGGACAGTCCCAGGGTGCAGCTGAGCTGAAGACACAGCAGGGCTTCCTTTTATCCCACTGATGACACAATGTTCACAGTAGTTCCTAGTATTTTAAAGATGCAGATTTTTCCATCAGATCATTAGAGGCTGTCAATGCTCCTTTTTAAAGTAAAGGTAATTGGTACCAACTCTGTACATTTACTACATTTATACACTTCAGAAACTCAAAGACAACATTATAAAATAAAAGGATCCTTAGTCAAGGATCAAAATAAGAAACAAAACTATAAACCGAGTCTGTCAGTGGACACACTTCAGCGGCTGCCCCTTACACAGCTGTGTCATTAGGCCTCACAGGGAGGCAGGAAGCCAAGAGTAAGTTCACAAAGAATGAGGACAAGAACTAAACAAAACCACCTTTATCTGCCAGGTGTGGTACCTGGCAGACTGTCAATTAATCTTTCCCAATTATTTTTTATTGTGATAAAATACACAGAATGTAAAGTGGACCATCTGCATCATTTTAAGTGTGTAGTGCAGTGGCATCGAGCACATTCACCATGTTGTGCGACGATCACCACCATCAACTCCAGGACTCGTCCATCCTATAAAACTGAAACTCTGTCCCCATGAAACCACTTCCCATTTCCCCTCCCCCAGACCCTGGTGCCCACCATTCCAATTTCTTTCTCTGTAAGTCTGACCACTCTAAGTACCTCATGTAAGTGGAATCATACAGTATTTGTCTTTTTGTGACAGGCTTACCTCACTCAGTATAATATCCTTACGGCTCATCCATGTTGCAGCATGTGTCAGAATTTCTTTTTTTTTTTTTTTTAAAGATTTTTTTTTTTTATTTGACAGAGAGGGACACAGTGAGAGAGAGAACACAAGCAGGGGGAGTAGGAGAGGGAGAAGCAGGCTTCCCGCTGAGCAGGGAGCCCGATGCAGGGCTTGATCCCAGGATCCTGGGATCATGACCTGAGCCGAAGGCAGACGCTTAATGACTGAGCCACCCAGGTGCCCCAGGGGGAGAGAATCTTAAGCAGCTTCCACACCCAGTAAGGAGCCTAAAGTGGGGTTCAATCCCACAACCCTGAGGATCATGACCTGAGCTGAAATCAAGAGTCGGACGCTTAATGTATTGAGCCACCCAGGCACCACTGGGGGTTTTATGTGAAGGTTAATAGCTCTCACTAACCTGTGAAGGCCCATCCACTCCAAGGATGTCTTCTCTGACCAGTGGAGGGAATACTATGTCCTTGACCAGCAATTTCTCAGTCTTTGGTTGAGGTTACATAGTTTACTCAAATGAAGGTGACTCCAATATCTGTGACCTAACTCTGTGTGCTAGGCATCACCCCCAATTTACAGATGAGGTCCATACATGCCAAGTAATATGCCCAAAAAGTAAAGCTGCTATCAGACCCCAGGGCTGTGACGGAGATCCAGGCCCTGCCCTTCCATCCCGTCCAGGGCAGTTGTAACACCAGCACTGCTTCTGCCGTGGTGCTTAGGACTCCAGAGGTAACCACACTCTCACCGCTGAGAGAAACCCTGTACCAGTCATTATACAAAGTGCCCATCACTTAGACTAAGCTGTTACATTTTGATAATACAAACAGTATGTGCTTTCTGAGATAACTAAGCCCTCACAGCAGTCCTTTATGACCTGCAATAATATTTGCAGAATTAAATCCCTCTAAGCACCTTGGACGTTCATGGCTGAGGTTTAAGAATTGCCCTGAAGTCTCTGATGCACACTGGCCAATCTCCTAAGGAGTGTGACATCAAGATCCATGTGGCAAGGTCACTGTTAAGAGAACCACGAGAAGTTACAACATCCAACTATGTGATAAGCTTCTCTGTATCTAAGTGCCAATGGGTGCTCAGGAGTACTTACCTTTGGTATAGGAAACCGCAACTGAGCTATTTGAACTTCACTGACAAGAGGAACGGTGATCCGATTGGGAAGCACCAGATAGTTTGATATTATATCCAGAATGATCGTATCTGACAGACCACTATTAGGTGGGTGGTAAAAAGAACAAATCAACTATCAGGCATATCAATACTAGTTATCGCTTTAACAGCAAATTTACCACAAACATGATACAACACCCCATTTACAAGGTCGGAATTGTCTAATTCTTCAAAGACAACATTTAAGACAGTAATTCAATACTTTAGCGGCAATATGGCTATGGGATATATATATAGCTGAGAAGTACAGCTGAGAACACAAGGTAACATTCTGGCTACATTTCACAATATTCTAAATAATGTTTCATATGTTCCTGTGTGACTTCATCATTGATTTAATATCAACTAAGACACATTACATTTTCTTTTTTTTTTTTTAGCATATTTCAAACAGCCACAAAAGTGCAAAGAATACCATAACAAACATCCACCTACCCATTCCATGTTTCTTACATTAAATTTCTCATTATTTTTGCATAGCTTCCAGTCAAGTAAAAGAATTTAGTTTATTCTCTCTTCACACTGTATTTGCATACTGAATACTGTAATAATTTTGAAATTCTATATACCACTGCACAGAGAACTCAGTAATATGAATAAAATTGTGGAGGATAAAGAAACAAATGTACTTTTAATATATTTTTGCCCATTCTTTGGGGTAAATGTGAAAATTAAGTAACATGGGAGTTTTTGAAAGCATAAATGAAATTTCAACACCTTTACCCAGAACTGAGAAGTTTTAAGAGAATCTTATTTCTTGCCAGTACTTCTCAGATGTTAAAATTGTTAACAGATATATATAAAGTAATTGTACATATAAAATACCCACTAGGACAGAGTGAAAGTCTCCATCATTAATAGCTGAACATTCACTCTAAGCTGGGTATCCAAATGCAATGACAAGAGAACGGGTCTTACCTTAGGACTTTCCAGTCCAAGACAGAAAAAAGACTGAAAAACCCACAACCCCACAGACAACACAGCTCTATTTATGCATATGTCCGTGAATTAGACGTTAACACTAAAGAGACAGAGAGGGTTTCAGCTGCCAGACACTGGATATATGCTCACTAAGCAGCGATGTGAAGTGGTCCTTCAGAGTTTGAATACCAAGCATATTCTTACTTTGCCATTCACCTCCAACCCCAAATACTGGTTGTGTTTATACTGAAAAATCTGCTGGAAAAGAAGACCCTTTGATGATGCTATGCTTTCAAGAATCCCTTAACTGCTATGGTGGTAGGCCAACCGTCTCACCACCCACCCCAGCCATGCAAACTGAGAGGCCCAACCCCCAGGAAAGCAGAAGGCCCACCCTGGGCCTCATCCCTGCTCACCTTTCTATCCCACTGTGTACACGCCAGCCTCCTCCTGAATTACCAGGCCTGCAATGCTGCTCCTAATCGTCCCCGGGGGCATCGACATGTGGCTGGCCCCTCTGCTTGTCCTGGCTGCTGTCGTGGTCTAGAGCGGCTCTTGGGTCTAGTCCTCTTTGTCCTTCGGAACTGCCTGCTCATCACCTGACTTTTGTTTCTACCATAATTCTCATCCCTTCTTATACCTTTACCACTCAGTTTAGGGTCCTTCATTGAAACATGTAGGGAGAGCCAAAATTTATGGTCAAGTGCAGTAATTCAGGTATTACTGCTACTTTATAATACTCCGGGATCCATTTTTTAACAATGAATACAGCATGTAGATGTTCATTTTGTAATGCTCGAGGCAAGATTTGTTAGAAAATCTTTGGGAAGCACAGTTCAAATTTTATGTTAAGTTTATATGTATATATTTTATTACATCAAATTTACATACATATAAATGTTACATTATATAAGTTTTACATAATTTTGTATAAATTATATATATCCTATAGAAATAATATAATTTTATTTAAAAGGGATGTTTTCATATATACCTTTTATACCACAGCTTTGTTTCTGACTGGTGTGTATTTCCCTCCATATTTCTAATATACATGAGTACATATTTTTAATAATATATATAATCCTCTATGTACTAAATATATTTTATAGACTGCATGCATAAAAATCTATATATAAAATAGCTAAAAACTATTACTATATAAAGAGAACCTGTCATTATCACTAAACACCATCATTAAATAAAACTGAGTGTATATATTTATATATCTCTGTGTATATAGACATACGTGTGTGAGTATATATATTTCCCTTTTACTTCATTTTGTATTTTTAGTTTTTAGTAGGCTCTATGCCCAACATGGGGCTTGAACTCAAAAACCCTAGGTCTAAAGTCACATGCTGTACCAGCTGAGCCACCCAGGCGCCCCCTTATCTGTCTCTCTCTCTTTTTTGAAGTGGTTCTTTTTTTCTTTTTTAAGATTGTTTATTTATTTATTTGACAGAGAGAGACAGCGAGAGAGGGAACACAAGCAGGGGGAGTGGGAGAGGGAGAAGCAGGCTTCCCGCTGAGCAGGGAGCCCGATGTGGGGCTCGATCCCAGGACCCTGGGATCATGACCTGAGCCGAAGGCAGGCGCTTAACGACTGAGCCACCCAGGCGCCCCCCATATCTCTCTTTTAAATAAATGATTTGCGACTGACTCCCCCAGCTGCAGGCTTGCCAAAGGCAGCATATACCCTCTGGCTCACGCTGTAAGGGAAGTAATACAATACTATTTACAGGGTAGCTGCTCGACAAGCCCGTGTTTATTTCAGTCCTCCTATGATATAAAAGGAGGAAAGTAGAACAAACACATTTTTAAAAAAAGATTTATTTATTTTAGAGAGTGGGTGGGGAGAGGGAGAGAGAATCCTCAAGCAGGCTCCCTGCTGAGCATGGAGCTGGAATCGGGGCTCACTACAGGACCCTAAGATCATGACCCAAGCTGAAATCAAGAGCCGGCTGCCTGACTGAGCCAGCCAGGCATCCCAAACACATTTCTACACCAAATGGCAACAGGGGTTTGTTGTTTGGCTGGCTGACCAGCATCCATTCCCACAGATGAAAGTACTGGTGAAAGTTCTTCCTTTGCTTCTCCCACATCCCTACCCTGGTCCCCCTGTTCGTCTTCTGGGGGTGGGTACGTGATCATCAGAATCACAGGGTTTGTCCAAGGATGGGTGGACAAATAGAAGTCAGCCCGGCAACTTTTGCTGGAACTGGCAGAAGAAGGTTCTTTTCAGACTAAAGCTGCTAAGCACGAACAGTAGCAGCTAGAAGCTGCTACTTCATAACAAGGGCCTGCCTGACAACAAACCCACGCAGAGAGAAGCAGAGTTGAGAGTAAGACAGAGAGCCCTAGGGCATCATTTGAACAGCAACACCTGCCTGCATCTGACTTCACCCCGCACTGCTCCAGACTGCTCAGTGACATGAGCCAAGAATAAGCCAGGAGTGGGAGCTCCATGAGAGCAGGTGTGACCGTTCTGTTCATAGCTACGCCACAGCACTAAGAACAGTGGCTGGCTCAAACCAGGCACAATACCTATTTGTTGGATAAATGAATAAATCGTCTTAATAGTATTTACTCATTTACTTTCTTTTTAAAGTTTATTTAAGTAATCTCTACGCTCAGTGTGGGTCTTGAACTCAAGACCCCAAGATCAAGAACTGCACACTCCTCCAACTGAGTCAGCCAAACAACCCCTACTCATTTATTTACTTTTTTATTTAAGTCTACTTATGTTGGGCTTGTTGCTTGCAACCAAGTATCCTAATGAATACTTCAACAGTTCTTTAAGTTGTCCTTTCTTTGTAAAGATCTTTATTTAAAGATAACAGAACTTGCAATATCCATTAAGCCACAGTACCTAAAAAAGATTTTTATTATGAGGACTATGCCTCATTTTATTAAAGTCCTAAATTTTCTCTGATAATGAAACAATATAAAGTTCTTTCTAATGGCCATTTTAGGGGCATAAACAAACACATAGGAATAGAAAAAAAAAACAGACCACTTTAATTTCTGAGCTATTTTAGAAAAAAAATCCAGATTTAGGAAAGTTATCTACTAGGAACACGTTTAACTGTATTTCAACATTTAAATACAAGAGTAAATAACAAAGGCAGGTTTCCAGAATTTCCTGCTGGCAACAATAGGTCCATCGCAAACAGTCACCTCCCATCAGGTGAGATGGAAGGTTGTGACCTGAGGAAGACTTCGCTTTCCTCATAGCAGGGATGTGCCATTCATGGTTTCATAAGCTTATTATGGGCAAATTTCCTCATGTTTTAGCTGTGAGATTGCTACAGAATAATGAAGGGACTCCCAGTAACGTGAGGCAGAAACTCTAGGTTTCTCAGCTCTTGCACCCAGGCCCTGGGGTGACCCTACACATTCCTAGGTCTAGTACCTACACTTACCCCTCTGTGGGCAATGGGAGGCATGGGGGGGCAGTAGCACAGCCTAAAAAGAACCCAAAGGGCTAGTTCTGAAACATATATTCATTTTTTAAGTTTTATTTTTCTGAGAAAATAAGAAAAACCAAATTAAAAAATTAACTTGCAGAATATTAAAAGGCTGTTTGTTACTTTTCTAAAACACCAAAGCTTGGAGCAACTGGCTGGCTCAGTTGGTAGAGCATGTGACTCTTGATTTCAGGGTCATGAGTTCAAGCACCACACTGGGCATGGAGCCTACTTAAAAAAAAAAATAAAAAAGTTAAAAAGAAAATACCAAAGCTGGAAAGATGCTTCACGATGAATGAAAAATAAAATGAAAGGTGAGTGACTCAGTCTAACACCCTCACCCACTCTCCTGCTCACTTGGTCCCATGTCTCAGATGCAGTTAGGAGAGCGGAGCCTAGCCAGTCTCTTCACCTGAGCCGCACACAAGAGCCTGCTGAGAGGCACGGATGCTGCCCGGTAGTGGCCTTACCCATTCTGTGTTGTTTTCATGACACTAGAAATGCACACGACACCAACAAGAAGCTAAGCACAGGACATGACATCATACTTACTTTAATCCAGGGATATCGAGAAGGTTCGTCAGTCCTGTCCAGTTAATTTCTATAAGCTGTTTTAAAAAAAGGGCAAAAATATTAAGTTTCCAAATTATTTCAATTACCAAATTAAATCAAACAGGCTTTTTAATAAGCAAAATGCATTAGTTCATAATACCATCCTACACCTTTTCACTTTGTAAAATATCAAAGTCATCATCCTTTGTTGGTAAATGAAGAGCTATCTCTTTTTTTGTTTAGTTTTTGATAGTATCTGTTTCCTCTGGTAAAATCAAATAATTCATATACCTTTCCTACTGATGGACACTTAGAATATTTATAATTTCTCTTTGATTCAGTGAATATCTTTTTACATACATGTTCTTGTAGCACATGCAAACCAGCATTCAAAAAGTGAAAGTTTTGGTCAAAGACATATGTTTATTTTTTACAGATTTTTATTTTAGGGGCGCCTGGGTGGCTCAGTCAGTTAAGTGTCTTACTTTGGCTCAGGTTGTGATCTCAGGGTCCTGGGATCAGGTCCCATGTCGGGCTCCCTGCTTAGCGGGGAGTCTGCTTGTCCCTCTCCCTCTGCCCCTCCCTCCCCCTGCTTGTGCTTTTTTTTTTAATTTCTTTTATTTATTCTTTGATAGAGATACAGAGAGAGAGAGAGCACGAGCAGGGGCAGAGGCAGAGGGAGAGGGAGAAGCAGACTCCCCACTGAGCAGGGGGCCACACATAGGGCTTGATCCCAGGACCCTGGGATCATAACCTGAGCCAAAGACAGACGCCTAACCATCTGAGCCACCCAGGCACACCCCCTCAAATAAATAAAAATCTTTAAAATAAAAAAAGATTTTTATTATATTTTTTAAAGATTTTATTCATCTATT